AACGACGGCCGCAATGCGGTTCGAATAGGCAGTGCAATGGGTAAATTTTTAAAATCTCATTAAATAATAATAATAATACAATTTTAATAACAATATTATTCATTAATTCGTGTCAGATCGTCCGACGGTTATAGACTGGGCGCCCGCACTCGCAACCGTTATACCGCCCGCCCAGCCAGCAGCAGCAGCTGTTGCTGTCCCGTCTCCGGCGGCTGCCGCTATCACGAATCGGCGCGCATAAGCAGCTGGCCCGTCTCACGCCTCCACGATCCCCCGGCTTGCCTCCACGACACGTCCGGCCGTCGCGCCGTTTATCACTGGTATCTCGGGCGCGTCTAATCGGACATTTGACCGTGATAACGCGTGCTCGCCGCCTACTACACTATCGCATCAATATACGGAGAACAGTGGCAGAAACATTAAGCGTAAAAAGGCTCGTATGCAATCTGTTATTACTCCAGGCTTTGTCGAATTAAAATCTACGTTCAAACGCGAGACCGTGTGGTACTTCAGGAAAAATATTGAAAACGTTAGGAGTTATCGCGCATTTCTCCATTCGATTGAGTCGGAATTAATAGCGAAATTACGCGAATGTGTGCTAAGTCATCCGATTAAATATAACCTCAAGTTAGAGGCCACCTACGCAATACCTAACGTGGAAAACAGCAACGAAAACCGTGCTTTCAAGTCATTGGCCCGAGAGTTGTACTCGTACAGCGACGTCGAGGGTGTGGTAGATCGCGATTTTACGGCACTTCTCGCCGAGGAGGACGGTTACGCGGGCAAGAACAGCGGCTTTGCCCTATCGTGCATTGACGGGATGCTTTTGGGGGTTTACGAGTACTCGCCCATGGGTGGCTCGTCATACTTGCCTCAAAACACAGATTTACAATGCTTTAAGTGGGCGATTTTGGCAAAGCATGTGCCTCGTGTTAACAGTTTCAGAATAGGCGCGAATTATTTCCACGAAGAGAACCGTTACGACTTCTCCACGTTATCCGTCCCCACACCCGTATCGGAGATACCATTTTTGGAGCGAGCGAATCCCGGTACGTCGATCAACGTTTACGGCGTGAGAAAATGCAGAAATAATAAAAAAAATAAAAAATCTACGACGGAATCGGCGGCGTACCCTCTGCGGGTGGTCGATGACGAACTGCCGAATCATTTTGACCTACTATTGATCACCGGTTCGGGGGATAAAAGTCGCTACACCTATGTGTCAAATTTTTCGAGACTCGCTAGTATGCAGAAAAATAGTCGCGAACATCGATCATTTTTCTGCAAAAAGTGTTTCACCAGTTTTGACGACCAGCCTTTGCGATATAAATTGCACGGCGAGGAGGCGTTGGCACGTCATCGTTTGGCCTGTGGCACCCACAAACCCATATTACCTATATGTCCGCCGGAAGGGAGCACGCTCGAGTTCACCGCGCTGTGTAAAACGCAACGCCTGCCGTTCGTTATGTACGCCGACTTTGAGGCCCTTCTCGTGAAATCCACGCAGCGATACGGTGTCAATACCGAAGCGTTGCACACTCATCAGCCCATGAGCTATGGGTTTATGGTTGTCGCTGCGGACGGTGTACCGGCAGAGCTGATGGAGCAGTTCGACATCCCGCGGACTCCGATCATTTTTCGCGGCTCAGAGACCGTGGACGATGTAGCCAAGCGATTCGTCATAGCTGTCATAGATATGGCCGAAAAAATATCTAAACTGTTGAAGACGACCAACGTGCCGATCGCGATGAGCGTCGAGGATGTGCGCGCGCACGGAATGAAGACCGTGTGCGATTTGTGTGCGAAAACTTTCACCGACGGAAATTGCAAAGTCGCACATCACGACCATTTGTCGGGCCGTTTTCTCAAGACTCTGTGTAACACGTGCAATCTCAAATTAAAAACGCCAAAGTTCGTGCCTTGCTATTTACATAATCTATCGAATTACGACGCTCATTTTTTCGTCACGCATCTGGGACTTGACGCCAACGCGATATCGGTGATACCCAATAGCGAGGAACGATATATATCGTTTTCAAAATACATAAACAACGAGTTCGCCGTCAGGTTTATCGACACGTGCAGGTTCATGGTTTCGAGTTTGGCCGACTTGGCGAAGAACCTCTCGACTGCGGACTTTGCCAAGTTTCGCGAAGTCGCGAAAGTGTTTGCGTCGACGGAGATGCCGCTGGTCACGCGTAAAGGCGTGTACCCATACGAGTACACGGACAGCTGGAGTAAATTGAGCGATCGAGGTTGCCGGCCAGGGAGGAGTTTTACAGCGCGTTGACCGAGATAGCGACGGAGATTACGCGCACGCAAAGCTTGTATGGAATCATTTCGACTGCCACACTCTCGGCGATTACAGTGATCTATACCTGAAAATCGATGTGTTACTCAGCGCCGACATTTTCGAGAATTTCCGCGATATATGCATGTCGACGTACCAGCTGGACCCGGCGTATTATTTCACGGCCCCCGGATACAGCTTCGATGCTATGCTAAAGTTTACCTCCATCAGGCTACAACTGCTTACTGATTACGAATCTATATTATTTTTCGAACGAGGTACGCGTGGTGGGCTGACGCAAGTCAGCAAGCGTTACGCCAAGGCGAACAACCCGAAGATGCCTATGTACGAAGCCGGCGAACCGAGCACATGGCTCGTCTATCAAGATGGTAATATTTTAAGATAATAATAATAATAATATATATATATATATAAACTGTCGCATGAAAAACGCAGATATCGAATTAATGATAAATTGTGGGAGGGAAATTGAAGTTTGACTTTTGTCATTGCGACAATCATTATGTACATGCTTATAATAATAATAATAATATCATTGTTTCCACATAGCTAATAATTTATACGGGTGGAGTATGTCTCAAAACATTCCTTACGGGGGGTTTTCGTGGTACGCTGGAAATCCGGACGTGGCATTAGCTCAACTCGAGTATATGGATGAGGCGGATGACGTGGGGAGAGTCTACGAAGTCGACATATCGTATCCGCAAAGTCTGCACGACGAGCACAATGATATTCCGTTCCTACCACACGCAAGCATTCCACGCGGGTCTAAAGTTCGGAAATTAATGGTCACATTCGAACGCAAGGAAAACTACGTCATACATTATATGAATTTGAAACAGGCCATTGCAAACGGATTGATAGTCGAAAAGGTAATCATTATTATTATTATTATTATTATCATGATGATTGTTACTGCGGATAAAAATATCTATATATATGTATATGTATATATTATATTGAATATTAATTAATTACTTATTTTGTACATTTCAGGTGCATCGAGTGCTACAATTTCGACAATCTTGCACCGTATATCGCGTTGAACACGGGGATGCGTGCACGGGCTGCTAATAAATTCGAGGAGCAATTTTTCAAAGACATGAACAACAGTGTATTCGGTAATTTATTTATAATTTTTTGCGAAAAAAAAAATATTTGCAAATTTTATTTTTATGTCATAATAATATACCTTACTACCTTACTACCTTACAGGTAAGACAATGGAATTATTAACGTAGAACTCGTGTCATGCCCCGTCAGGATGCGAAAACTGATTAACCGCCCGACGTTCAAACAATGCACCAATTATTGCGAAAATCTCGCGGCAGTGACTATGCACAATAAAGAAATCAATTTCTGTAAACCTATTTACATAGGGTTTGTCATACTCGAGCGGAGCAAGGAGTTGATGTACGAATATCATTACAACGTGATGAAACGTCATTACGGTGACAATATCAGCCTGCTGTACACCGATACTGGTATGTATATCACGCTGTGATCCACTATTGTATTTAATGTGTTATTAACGTTACAACTATTTTACTTGGCAGATTCTCTGATATATCACGTTAAAACACGCGATTTTTACGACGATGTGGCGAATAATCCGAACTTGATGAATCGCATGGACACATCTAATGTACCACCTGATCACAGATGTTACACTTTGGCACGTATGAAATTACTTGGATACTTTAAGGACGAGATTTCAGCCCGAAATATGCGTCAGTTTATCGCATTACGCGCCAAGTCGTATGCCTACGATATCGAGGGTGCCGTAAATATCAGGTCCAAGGGAGTCCGGGGACATGTTATTAGAAATCACCTGACTTTCAACGATCACATGCGCTGTTTATTCGCCGACGACGACGACGACGATGGTTCGGACGCGGAAGATTATCGTGATAAGGAGTTCGACGGGGAGGCTGATAGCTCGGGATTGCGCGCGTATTGTCATTAAGCGTATACACCGAAACGCCGTGATTGCAGCGATTCCACCAACAACTACACAACACCCGCCGTCTACACCAACACCTCTACCAACACAACAACAATCATATATGCCGTATACGGCGTATAGAGAGAATATATCGATCCGTTCGTATAAACACCAAGTCAGCACGATTAGGACTAGTAAATTAGTCCTAAACAGATTCGATGACAAACGATATATTCTCCCTAACCGTATTGATACTCTCGCACATGGGCCAGGGGCGTCATTTCAACTTTTTGAAAGGTATGCTAACATCAGGGCAGGCCAAAAAAATTTTCAGCAGGCCAATATATATTATTATATACACTATAATAATTAGAAAAAAAAATTTTTCTCGCTCCGCTCGAAACTTTTATTTTTCATCAATCAAATAATTTCATATAATACCGATATTGTACACCCAATACTACACAGTTAAAACGTAAATTATTTTATTTTCAATATCATTATTTCATATTTATAAACACTAAGGAAAACAAAACAAATTCTGAAATCTTTAATCACACATAAGTTATTTATCTACTATCTACTACGGCGTATGGTTTTATAGGGGCATATATAGCATAAGCCATAAATGATAGATGCCGAATGCCGATACTCGAGACCAATTATATATACAAAAAAAAAAGGTGGGCAAGTGGATGTCGCTCTGCTGTACAGTAGGTTACAAGTAGGTCACTGTATAATGGATGATATTAAATTTGAATTCAACGATATAATATCATTGTATAAGAAAAACGATTCTGAGCGGAGACGGTACGTCAGTCTAGGTATAACACATATTATATACATATCTATGATATTAAACAAAAAATTGACCTATAATAAATTCCAAATTAATCATATCACATTATCACAATATCCATTTAGTACTTATAACACGTTATACATCAACATCAATAACAAACCCTGATACTATCATAGATATATAATAGTACACTTTAGAAGTTTCTAGTACCCACGAATAATATTATACAATCACAACAAAATAACTAAAATAGTTATTTTTGGTTCTTTAATATGTAATTTTGTCAAAATATGAATTTAAAATGTCTGTAAAAAATAACTGTGGTCATATATTTTTTAGATTTTTTGGCTACAGTATGAACTATTTATGAGAATCTTTTTTTTAAATTTTCAATCCTTAGCTATAAAAACTGAACATTTTATAATTTATTAATTACGATGATTGATAATTTTCGAGATTTTGATAAATTTTGTCAAAATGCGATCTTTAAATGCTTATAAAAAAAAATTGTGCCTATGTATTTTTAATATTTTTCAATTGCTATTGTAACAATATATCAGGAGCCTTGTATTAATTTTTTACACTTTTTGGCAAAACAGATAAAACTTTATTGATATTTATAGAAAAAAAAAAAACTAAAAAAATTGAAAACTGAAAATGTCCGTAAACGGCTCAAAAAGAGTCAAAATATTTTCAAAATTGTATGGTGTATAGGAAATGCTAATATAAACATTCAGTGAAATTTTCATGTATCTACAGTAATTCGTTTTTGAATTACAACAAAATAAGGAAATCGCTACATGAGAAATCGAGTGATTATCCAATGTTGTAAAAATTTGAATTTCAAACGCTTATAAAAATTTAATTTGACTTTCTTATAGAATTTTTTTTTTTGATAAATGTAGGAAATCACATAAGGAATCTTGTATTACATTTTCATATTTTAGATTTAAAAATAAAAATTTTTATGAATTACTAACTCGAAATAATTTGCAAATTTTCGTGATTTTTCCATATTTTGTCATTTTTTGAACTTTAAATGCTTAAAAAAAAAAACTGTGACTAACGATTTTTAATATTTTTCATCTGTCTTTGAGACAATATAGTAGGAGCCTTGTATTAAATTTTCAAGTATTTTTACTCAACAAATAAATTTTTATTGATATTCATAAAATAAAAAACTAATAAAATTGGAAACTGAAAATGTCCCTAAACAGTTCAAAATAAATCAAAATATTTTGAAAATGTTATCGTGTATAGAAAATGCAAATATAAATAACCACTGAAAATGTCATGTATCTACGGTAATTTGTTTTAAAGTTATACCAAAAACCAAAATCGATTTTCTCGAAAACAGATTTTGCGTAAAAATTCCCGTTTTTCCTTAATTTTTCTTTTGTTTTTCCCTGCGCTTTTAAAAACTACTGGGAAATTTAAATTTTGACCTCCCAATGTACCAACGATATTCACTTTCCAATCGAACAAGATACTGAAGTTGAAAATCGAAGCATTATTTCGACTACTTATCGTGTACACAGACACAAAAAAAATAAAAAAAACACACATCATTGTAAAATCAATATATTCATCGTTCCACTCAGAATCTAAAAAGGATAATTTTTGCCCGGCGCAGAAAAATTATAGTCGGGCCAAATTGCATCTTGATAATTTTAGGTATGCATAGGCATACCCTGCAATACCCCAAATGACGCCCCTGACATGGGCATTATAGAATTGATTGAATAATCACAAAGCAAATATTGTTATCATTATTACAATTATTATTATTATTATTATTATTATTATTGTTATCACTATCGTAATTGTTATTATTATTATTGTTATTGTATAATCTATTAAAATGTAAATGGTATTGTGTGTGGCGGGAAAAAATCACAATTCAAATATATATTATATATATATATAACACACACGTAAAGCGTATTCATTATTTTTATCTTTAGGGGTAAATACCATATCACATGCAGTAATGCAATCATTTACGGTGATTGTAGTGGATAACGAATAATACGAGCGTCTCGAGAGCAAAATTGCGCCACCAATCAGAATCGTTCATATTTGTTATCACTATTTGTGAAAATCACGTTTCTTATCATCCTTTATAAAAATTATAATGTGATAATATAATAATCAACAATCATACAGGTTTATGATGGGTATTGGGTACTATCAATTCTATTAGTGAACCAATTCATTTGATTCAGCTCATTAAAATGTCATTGAATCACTGAATCAATTCATTATATTTACATTTTATAATTGTGACTAATATTTTAAACCTAAGGGCTAATAATTATTTATATATAATTTTTATCTTCATATATATAATTCTACTGTACGAGTGTTTGTAAGTTGAGTGGGCCTTTGAATGGTTTGGATTCACTATCGGACCCGGTAGGCCCATTCCGGGGAGGTGCTCAAACAGGAATGTTGAGATTTACGGTGGATATTTTTGTTTATAAATGGTTGCCTTGGGTTTTAAAGCTATTATAAAAATAAATATTGGTTGAAATCAGAAATAATTTATAAACAACGTTAATATAATTAAATCCAAAGAAAATTTTAAAGCTTAAGTCATAGATTTGGTACATTTAACGGGTAACAAAGTACACGGGATCAGCTAGTTTACATATAAAATCAAATTGACAAACTTAAAGTATAATATTAAATGAAAAATCAATCACTGTTACTGTATTATTTATATGTTAATATGTTATATTTATTTACTTTGAAAATACAAAACATAAAATGTTTAATATGTTGTGGTTTTTTCCCTTTAATTATATTTAATAGTTATTATACCAATAATGATTATTTATTTATTTTTTATTATTTATAAAATCATAAAACCAAATAACAGAATGATTTGTTGAGTACTAAAATGAGATTGGAGACAGAATAACTTTTTGTAAATTTATTTGGAAAATATACAATACCAGTTTTGCAACAATTGTTTATATTTTTCATTTACTAAATTAGTATAGTTAGTACTATAGTACTATAATATATATAGTTACATATTATTTTGATAATTTATTTATAACACAGTACTTACACAGTAACACTTGTACTTACAACTAAGTATAAGTTGTCACTTAATACGAATTACGATTATGCTTTATGATTACCTATCTAATATTGATTTATCTGAAAAAAGTCTTCTATTTTTTTATATATATTATTATTTATTATCTATGATAAGAAACGTGATTTTTCACAAATAGTGATAACAAATGTGAACGATTCTGATTGGTGGCGCAATTTTGCTCTCGAGACGCTCGTCGAATAATCGTATTTATCATTGACATAATATAAATGGACTGCGCATTCCCTATACCTTAACGTGCAATACATTGGGGCCATCATTCAGGTCATTCACCCTCAACTTGGTAGTAAATTATCATGGAGGAGAGAAACAAATAGTCGTGTTTTCCAGGAGTGTTATCATAATGAAATCTAAATAATAATAAAATCATAGATAATTAAAAAAAATAATATTATAATAATATTCAGAAAGTTGCAACTGTCAAATTTCAATCATATTTACCACAGATGATAATGTGAATATTATCTTAATATATTCGAAACAATGATAATAAGAAATATTGTCATGGAAATATGAAGAATTATATATTTTTTTCCATTGATTTTGACTACCAGATCAGGGCAAATAATGACTCCACAATTAACACATCAAGCGCAGTCCATTTATATTATGTCAATGGTATTTATCATCCAACCTTATCATATTTTATCTTATCTTTATCTTATCATCATTATCTTATCTTATACTTAGCCTTATCTACATATATACTTATCCGATATATTATACCGAGGTCTCGGCAACATTATTATTATTATTATTATTATTATTTTTTAAAAACCCCCGCTCATTCGTGCTGTGATAAGAAGCGAGGATATTTTATATGCCTACGTACGGTGTTCTGATGGCTAACACTTATCCATCAGTAAGTCTTTGGAGTTAAGCATTTACGAACGTGCAATAACGATATAATGTCGCTAGAGGAGTGCTCATTTTTCAACTATGTCCACAAGTCTCGATGTGTGGTAAGTTTTATAATGTTGTATCACTCTATTTTAAATTACAATGTATTTATTATTTTTAGTCACCACAATTATTTCAAGAGACTTACAATCCGGATCACTATACGCTACGTATAGTCGAACCCGAGGTCAAGGCCGAGGTCGTGCAAGAATCGTTGGGATTTAATCCCGGTCAGAGATTTCCGTGGATGCCGCCCGATTATTGGACGCAGGACGGTCAACGATTAACTCCAGATTGCTATATCCCACCTATTCTAGACTTGATATCCGGTCAATTCACAAGCGGTAGAGATGCACCACGTAAGTATTAATGTATAAATAAAATCGCTATAGAATTACAATAAAATTACTCATATTTTCAGATAACGTACAATCTAACTATATCAGTGATGACTCGGCGTGGGATCAAGAAAACACTCTACACTGGAAAAAAATAATGTTATCCAAATTTAACGCTGGAATGTAGTACCTTTTAATTTTGTGTAAATAAAATATTATTAATATTTAGAACACTGAAGTCTCTTTTTTTTTCTATCAAATCTAAATAGCAGATTTTTACCTAATAATAATAATAATAATTATTATTATTATTATTATCATTATTATATAGTGCTGCGACTATGTATAAATAAAACATTTCCGCTAAGATTCCTATAAAAAAATATATATATAGTTATACTTTGAAAAATATTATTTAGAAATAATATAATATGATCCATTTAACGGGCGACGAAGTTCACGGGATCAGCTAGTATCATATAAAATCAAAAACAAATATTATTCTACGAATTATTTATAAGCCATCTGCGTAATGCATAAACTCTATGATATGTACATTGTGTACGATCTAAGTCCATGTGATATATACAGCACGGAGATCCTAGGTCGTAGTTTTCAACACGATTGCGAGAATAGTTAATATTATAATTAATAGAATTATTATTATTATTATTAGTATTATCATCGTAATTATCGTCAGTAGATGACGTATAAAGTCGATCCAGCTGATTTAATCTGGGGCAGTCGTGATCCACGCCCAAATCGATGACATCGACTTCTGGAATGAAATCTTGTATAATCTTACGTTTTTCCGCACCCTTGACGTAGACACACTTGAAATGTAGTGATTTTAAAATTCGCTCGATTTGTGAATATTCCACGTCACCGCAACCCAATGAAAGCTGATGATAGTTACGGTACAACCACATATTCACCGCTTTACTTTTATCCGTACACGGTGTTTCATTGTGTTTGAAAATATAATGTTGACTACCGCGGTTGTTTACATCGAGAATTGACATTTCTTTTATAAGATATTTAAAATTCAAACCTAGTATGCATTGAATATCTATGATAGCCGACGCCATAATCCACTTCGTCGAGAGTTAATATAAATAGGTATATATATATATATATATATATACCTATTTTATATATATATTTATATATATATATAACGCGTCTTACAGGTAACATGTTAGGGATCTGACTGTTTCCAATTCTCTGCGAATCTGTCCTCGAGTATAATTATTCTGGCATACGCATGAGCCAGCGAGACTTTTAAATCTTTAATGTATTTATTTACATCATCTATGGACTCAATGCACGATTCGATTTTATTATTATTTTCTAAAAAATATTTATCGTTCGCCTGCACAGACCCGATTGTTCCTAGTCGAATTATTTGCATTTCGTTCGCTAGGACTCGATCGTTGAACGACGATATTTTTTCATCGTTGGCCGTGATTAAGTTAGTGTGCAAACCTAATTCATTGGTAAACTTTTCATCAAGCTTCGCGATTTTCGAATAATTTATTCCGATCAAATTAACGTGGGAGTCGAGTTGTTCGGCAAATTTTTCTTTCATGTCGGTGATTGTCTTATTCAATTGACTAGACGGCGACCCCCCGAACACATCCATGACGTCGTGATAACTGCACTTATATTACAAGATCGGACTTATTTATCCAACTATTATGCTCGTCGGTAAAACCTAACCAGCGTACGAACACCCGCTGGCCTTTGGTGCGAATTATTTTTTCCACTAGATAATCATTAGGTAGTTTCGTTTTACGTATTTCTTCGGCGTAGAAACCACCGGCTATCGGGTTACCCTCGTAATCCTGCAATATGAATGTACACGGCGTAGTCTTGTTCACTTTAATAATTGTAAATATTTCGGTAGACCAATTGGGTAAATATCCTTTTGTGAAAACACCCTTGTATACGCTTACGCGGACTTTGTCGCCCACGCTAAACTTGATTTTTGTGGTTTTCGCGGCGACGTATTTTAATTTTACCCGTGACGGGTCGTCGTTGGCTTGCTGCGGTGTCACACCAATCGTTGTATGCATCGTTTTATTATAGTCATTAATTAACTCTGGTAAAATAGACGTCCAATTATGAGAACTTATGCTAGTGAATTGTCTAAACATTCGAGCTTTTAAAGTCCTGTTAAATCTCTCAATTATCGAAGCCTTTAAAGCACTGAAAGTGCTATACATTTTTATATTATACTTCTTTACTAAAGCCTCGAAATTTTTATTGTAAAACTCGTGCCCCCGATCGACGTGTAATAGGTTAGGTCTATTCTGTGCAAAAATGCCACTAGCGGCCTTTGACACTTCGTCACCGCGTTTAGTCCTCAATGCGATTCCGTAAGCGTATTTTGTGTAACAATCAATCACAGTCAATATATAATTATAATTTTTATTGACGTTGCAGTATTGGCGCATGTCGACGAGGTCCGCTTGGTATAAATCGTTTTTACCGTAAACAATGACGCGACGTCGCGCGTCGTGGGTATGTCCTTCTCGCCGCTCCGTGAAGTTCAGCCGCGATCTCGTGCTTAGACATTCGGAATTTTTTTCAATATACCAGCCTCGACCAATTCTCCACAAATCGAGATTATCTCGTTACGAACACCCGTATTACCGGCCGCGAGAGACGAATACAATAATCGTAATCTATCGACCAGCTCGTTAGGATCGTTCCAATATACAATATTGTGTTTCTGCAATCGTATATTTATTCCACTACCAGACTTTCTGTCCTTGAACAGTTTTGAAATTACTTTCATATATTTTGCACCTACGGAAGTGCGGATACGCGCACCGTCTGCTGTCATGTGCGCAGATGTCTGAATTAGAATACGTTTATATACACTTAAATCATCACGTGTATATTTTTCAGCCGCCGGGGACTTGGCAAATAATAACTCAATAAGTCCGGGCGTTATGGGATGAAAACTAGCATCATCATCATCTTCGATGTGTATTTCATTATCGATAAATTTAATTTCTTTGTTACCCAAAACATATTCGCCACTTTTCGATTTTTTAGGTGCGTATACTTTATCTAATCCAGCTGCAGGCCACTGTCCGAATAGTTCATTCAAATCGTATTGTGTAGTAAGCGGCGGCGATGATGATAATGACGATGATGATGATTATGAGGCGGTGGAATGTTTTTTATAGACATCCGGTAACGATCGTTGTGTTGACTGTCGCGACGTCGATGCTGCGGATGATGGTGTGGTGGTGTGGTGTGGTGTGGTGTGGTGTGGTGCGGTGTGGTGGTCGGTGACGTGGGTGGGCTTTGCGGCTGGTGCACCGACGAATGCGTGCGGAGGGTACCGATATTGTCGCGTATTTTATTAAGAGGATCGATAATAGAACCGAGTGTATTATTTACTAACGATTCGGTTTCAAAACGGCCGGTTTTTAGAGCAGAATATTTTTTTTTTATATTCATTCTCGCTTGAATAATATCCGCCAATAACGACGGTGGCGGTGGCGCCGACGGTAAGTTGTTCACCTTTCCCATGATACCGGGCAAATGTGTTATATTTTGACGAACCGGCTTATTATATAATAACATATGTGTCGAATCCGTGTCTATAGCGACCGTTATCACGCTGGTGTTCACTGCTGATGACAATAAATTCAAATCTGCCGCCACGCCAACAAGTCATGCAAAAATCTTTAAACTCGTTGTATTTGATATCACCCGAGCAATGTTCGTCGTAAACGTGTTTCAGATTCATTTCGTCCTGCTTGAATAAAACTATGAAATTAGCATTGTCGCGAATCAATTGTTTCGGAACACGTGAATACGACTGGGCTAAATAACACACGTCTATTAAATTATGCCTGGATCTCGAAAAGTACGATCGGATGATATTGTGGTTCTCTGTTATCACGTCGTCGAATAGGAAAACTGAATTCGGTAGAGCTTTCTCGGGCGGTATCACCGTCTCGTTGTCGTTGAATTTGAATAAACTTATACCCGGAACGTCGGATAAAATCTTATCTAGCATGATGTATTTGGCTTGATGTAGTGTTTTCGAATAAATGTATACATTTTCGAATTTAATCCCGTTCTCGTGAACCAATAACGTGAAAATAAGATTCGTTTTCCCGCACCCCGACGGTCCTACAATCAACGCCCTGATAGAATTCGGAAACAGCGGCCCATACTTAGGTGGAAGCTTCTCGATATCACTATTGCATAGCGATAACCGATCGATATTATCGACTTTGAGTTTTATGTCTTGCCCGATGAATCGCATTGTATAAATACGTGTGTCGATCGTGCGATGTGCTCATACAATGTTACCACGTCGAAAGGTCAAGTCCAATAGCGGTGCGGGTCTGTTGAACACCATAATAAATAGTGTACCATTCGAATTACATTTACCAGGTTATCAGTACTGTGGACCTGGGACTAATTTAGGAAAAAGACTCGCTCTCGGGCAGACCGGCATAAACGGTCTAGATTCCGCGTGTAAAGACCACGATATAGCTTACGAGAAAAGTAATTCTTTATCCGAACGTAGTGCAGCCGACAGCATTTTGGAAGAACGAGCTTGGAGCAGAGTGGGTGCGAAAGACTCTGGTTATAAGGAAAAAGCTGCCGCGTGGCTTGTAACCACTGGTATGAAGGCTAAACGTAAAACCGGTGCTGGATGCGGGTTCGTTAATATTGTCGGCGCGTGTAAAAAAGCGATTAAGAAATCGATTAAAACATGCCCGTCGACGCCGAACATGGGTAAATTAATTAAATCTGCGGTATGTGTTGCCCGAAAACATGTGAAAACAAACAGGGGCGCGAGGAAAAATAAAAATAAACTACCTCGTGTGATCAAAGTCCCTAAAACCGGTGGCGCGCTAGCGTTGATTCCTATATTGGCTGGACTTTCGGCGTTGGGTTCGCTGGCGGGCGGGGTGTCTAACATCGTGAAGACAATACGCAGTATTAGATCGAACAGCGGATCGCCTATACAATTAGGTAAAGGCATGTATCTAAATCCACATAAAAGTGCTGGGGGTTCGTATACTATTGCCCGGAAATCGAGTGTTCGTGGTTCGCGCAAAAGCATCGGCGGCAATGGACTTAAGAAGGTTGCTGTTAAAAGAAAAAAAATATCATCGACTAAATTAAAAAATAAAAAGTCAGTATCCGCAGTTCGACGCAAATCGACGAAAACAAATACTGCTAGAAAATCATCGAGATCGAAAAACTAAATTTACCCAATCGCGCTCTTTATGATTTCGAAATTGTTAAATACGCTAAATTTAAGAAAATACGTCATTTCAGAAGTGTATATTGCATAGACAGGTTGCCCGCCGCCGGACCTAATCACACGGAAAGCGCGGTAGTTAACCTCGACTTTGAAAAAAATAAAGGCACACATTGGGTGTGTTATAAAAAAATCGGGAAATCAGTTTTTTATTACGACAGCTACGGCGACCTTCGTCCGCCGCCGCAACTAGTGAAGTATTTCAAAGGCTGCGTCATCGAATATAATTACGAACGTCATCAAGCATACAATACTTTCAACTGTGGACATTTATGTTTGAAATTTTTAACCGATAAGCAATAGTTATAATATCATTATTATTATTATTATTAATATATAATATATATAATATTATCGTCGGCAAAATGCCGTCTCAGACAATGTCACTGTGCGGAAACAGCTCCGAATTGGAATGTCATTTTTTCCCACCCATAGATGTGGGTGACAAATCTGAAATCGGGCTTCTAAGTATGCAAACATATAATTCTATACCTAACGTCGAGACTGGATGCGATACTCTGCATATTATTCACGGCGAACAGTCCGAGATCACTAAGATTAAAATACCTACTGGGTGTTATGAAATAATTGTTTTAGAAACTAAAATACGTGAACTCTTAAAGGACATCGGTGTGAATTATTTTAGTTTGTCGACTAATAGCAGCACATTGAAATGTACTATGCATTGTAATAGTGATATCGATTTAAACGTCGAAGATAGCATCGCGTCGTTATTAGGCTTCGATAAGCGTATTTTGGTACGCAATCATAGACACGAGTCCGATCGCGTGGTGAAAATTATGAACGTTAATACGATAAAAGTCGAATGTAACTTGGCTCTAGGCTCATTCAACAACGGACGGCAATCGCATACGATACATGAATTTTATCCGATCGTGCCACCCGGTTATAAAATAGTTGAAATACCTAAATATAGTGTGCTGTATAAACTGAAAACAAGCACGATTGATTTCGTACGAGTTTCATTGACCGATCAAGACGGAAAGTTGATTAATTTCCGCGGCGAAGCTGTAAACATCAGACTGCTTATAAAAAATGGGTTTGAAATTTAATGACGGTAAATATGCGGCGAACAATAGTGAGGTACGCATTAAACCTGCGACCGTTGACATGCACGCACTACAACACGTCTCAGCTGTTCGTAAAAAAGTTAATCGTAATAATAAAAAAAAAAACAAAACGCTGACGCTCGATAATCGTAATTTTTTACGTTTGATCGCAAACAAGTAGTATTTTTTATTTGTTACATTATATTATACAGCATAAACACTATGGATAAATCGTTCTTAGACGTGGGTGGTGCGTATGTAAACGAATCACCTATTCGGCAAATGTTCGTACATTCTTTCCTACCATTTTCCACGAGTGCGCTGGATAATGGGGACGAAATCCGTATCGCAATTCAAAACCGGGACGCGCATACGCTACCAAGCGAAAGTTATATCTATATCGAGGGTAAAATAACGCAGCCCGATGGAATGAAGACAGTAATAAGCTTAGCCCACAACGGGTTAACGAATTTATTCAACGAGATGAAATACGAGATAAACTCTATAGAAGTACAACGGGTTAAAAAACCTGGTATAACCAGTGCGATGAAGGGCTATTGTTCGTATTCGCCTACCGACGCGAATATCATGCAAAACGCTGCTTGGGATATCACTAGCAGAAATGCTAATTTCGTCAAAGACGGTTCGTTCAGCGGATGTATACCGTTAAAGCATGTTTTTGGTTTTTGTGAGGACTACAAGCAAATACTGGTGAATTGTAGCCAACAGTTGATTTTGAATAGATCAATGTCAGATTTGAGTTCGTTACATTTCACTGCCGTTGCGGGGGAGGATATTTCGAGCACGTCATTTCAGGCTCTGGTGAAAAAAGTCAAAGTACAGCTGACGCGAGTGTCGTGGAAAATACCTGTTATTAAAGTCGATGACCGGGAGAGATTGAAACTGTTGAAAATCGTTGATACCAAAAAAATGCTGAATTGTGCCTTTCGGAACTGGGAACTTTGTGTGTACCCCAACTTGCCGCAGACGAGCAAACACTCTTGGATGGTGAAAACATGCTCACAGGTTGAGAGACCAAGGTGTTTAATAATAGCTTTTCTCACGAATGCACCCGGTACCGTGGCAGACGGTTATAACGTTGATTACGATGCGTGCTCGTTGACAAACGTTAAAGCATATATAAACTCAGTGGAATATCCGTATGAAGATTTCAACGAAAGTTTCGATAAAAATCTGTTCACCATGTTCTACCAGAATTACGTCGATTTTCAGAAACATTATTATGAGCGATTTAACGCCCAACCGTGTCTCACGCGGGAACAGTATAAAGAGTTGGGCAAATTTATCTGCATAGATTGTTCGCGTCAAAACGATGACGCCAAGACTTCAAGTATCGATTTACGAATCGAGATAGAGGCTGCTAATAATTTCCCAGCCAATACGGCCGCCTACTGTCTAGTCATACACGATCGCATTGTTCAATATAATCCATTTACGGGTGAAGTGAGAAAAATATAATTCATGTACCTATATATATATATATATATATATGTATATAATATTGTATTTATGTTTTATCCATAAAATGTTTACTATTATTTTATGATTAAATTACAGTAATAATAATTATAATATATAATATGTATCGTACGATATCTGATATCCGTATTGATAATGCTTGTGGAATAAATACTAATAATAATAATAAATATAACGCGTTTTGTTTTTTGCTATATATAATCATGATATATTATACAGTGATTTTGACAGTGTATGTATATAGTAATAGATATAAGAAATATTATTTCACAATAATACAAGTAACGCGCAATGATATGAATGCGACGCTGTGTAACAATATAACAACGTATACATATTACATATATATAGTATATTATATTATGCCTAGTCGACTATTTTTCCTATATCCCTGGCCGGCGGTTGAATGAACCGCGTGGAATTCGGTGGACAGCGGCACATCAATAGTTTGTATAAGAAAACATCGCTGACCCGTCAATTTCTTCGAGTCTGATCGGCTGTAAAAAATAACGTACGGTATATTATAATTTATAATATAGTATAATATAATATAATAATATATTACCCATTCGATGACGTCAGCGGTGGCTGAGGCGGCGGTGACATCGTCGTTGATCGGATAGCCAGCTGTACCGTCTTCGCGCATTTTCTTGTGCCAACACTCGGCGAGTTGTTTGTGCGCAAACAATTTGATCTGGTTCGCGAAACTGTATTCATTTTTCGGGACGATATTGAGTGTCGATAAATCGCTGTGGATATTGCAGATGATCGCTGTAATTTTGTAATATTTGTAGGATGATGATAAATTAACAATGAACAATTTAACTAAGTGTTCTTTTAATATTTTAACATAACATAATAAAGAACTGAACAACTACAAAGCATACTGCAAAGCATACTAAAAAGCATACTAATAACATGAGTGACTGTGTGAGTATATGACAATTGACAAATATTTTAAGGTTATATCTAAGGTCATGGAACAAACACTACAGTTCCTCCAAACTTAATTACAGAATACTATTCATATAAAATACATAATAAAATATTAACTTTAACAATCAAAAGTAAATAAAATAAAATAACAAAATATACAAAATATAGATAGCCAAAAAACAATATATTAATTAATAATAATGACAGTTAAAAAATATTTATACTAATAACATATTTTACAAATTCAGTTTATTAGGTGAACGTTTAACTCGCTTAGGTCTTTCAGTACTAACACAATTATCCTTTTGAGAATCGAACACATCCTTCCCTAACTCTTCAGTTACCTCCAATTTTTCCTCAATTACTTCTTCTTGCTCCAAATTAATGTTTTGATCTGTACTCACCTCTTTTTCAACAACTAAACCACAATCTATAATCTGATTCACATGTCTCTTCCAAATTCTACCATCACCTAATCTCAAGTCATAAGTAACAGGAGATAATTTCTGTAATATAACTGCTTGTACCCACTCATCCCCTCCAGTATAATTCCTACACATTACTAAATCCCCAACAATATACTCTTTATTTTTATTACCTCTATACCAATTTTTATTTTTATCCAAACTTTTTTCATAATTAACTTTAGCAAAAGGTGTCAACCTATCATAAGATGTAAATAAAGAACGCCCGATATGCAGTTGAGCAGGACTAAAACCAGTAGAACAGTGTTTAGTGCTATTATAAGACAAAATAAATTTCAACACACTAGTATCAATACAATCTTTATTATTAGTACTAGAAATTACTGTGAAACCCTGCTCGATAGACAATTCCAGTATCCTACTGTAAAATGGTTTAAGATCTAGTGAAACATCCTTACTGTTATCAGGCCAATTCCCAATAAACACTTTAATAAACACATCACGCAGAACCACATCTTTTTTTATTTCATTACAAATATCTAAATCTCCAATAGACTTAATATTAGTAGTTACCATATTAATGAAAAAATTATCACACTCTATATCATTACTACCAATTACACTTAAAGGCAATCTTGATAGAGCATCAGCATTACCATTTTCTAGACCTTTAATAAATTCTATTTTATAAGTATAACCGGATAAAAATATAGCGTAACGCTGTAGTCTATGTGCTGACATAAGAGGAATTCCTTTCTTTTCACCAAAAATACTGACTAAAGGCTTGTGGTCAGTCCTCAAAATAAATTCCCTACCATACACAAACTGATGGAAATATTTAATGGCAAAAACTAAGGAAAGGGCTTCCTTGTCAATTTGTGCATAATTCTTTTCAGATGCACTCAACGTCCTAGATGCAAAAGCAATAGGCTTCTCCGACCCATCTGGCATTATATGTGATAATACAGCTCCCACACCAAAAGGACTAGCATCACTAGCTACAATTAATTCCAAATTTGGGTTATAATGTACCAAAATCTTATTAGATAAAATAGATTCCTTAATTTTAGAAAATGCTTTACTCTGAATTGCATTCCAAACAAATTGTGTATTGTTTTTCAACAATGCATATAACGGACCAGCGATAGTAGACATATTTTCTACAAATTTACCGTAGTAATTAACCAAACCCAAAAATGCCTTAACATTCTGTGTACTTTTAGGTATTGCCACATTATTAATTGCTTTAATTCTTTCATCGGGTATATGGAGAACATTTTTATCTACCTTGTAACCTAAAAATGTAACATGGTCGGTAAAAAAATTACATTTTTCTTTCTTTACCGTTAAACCTGCCAAAGAAAGTTTATCTAAAACACTATACAGTCTTTCACTTAATTCTTTGTCATCTTTCCCAGCTATTACAATATCATCGTAAAAACATACAGTGCCTGGTATAGCACTTAATAATTTTTCCATTTCTCTTTGTAATAACCCTGGAGCTGAGGCTATACCATATGGTAATCGATTAAACATAAAAAATCCTTTAAAAGTAGATATAGTTGTTAGTTTTTTACTCTCTTCACTAAGTACCAACTGCTGATACGCTTGGCACAAATCTAACGAACAAAACTTTGCAGCCCCCTGAAACACAATCATTAGATCAGCTACTCTAGGAATAGGATATCTATATATTTCTAAATACTTATTAAGTGTAACTTTATAATCCCCACATAGTCTTATAGTCCCATCACTTTTTTTAACAGGAACTATAGGCGTACCCCAATCTGAAGTTTCTACAGGCACTAGCAAATTTGTATTCACTAGTCTATCAATCTCATCGCTAAATTTACCTTTTAAGGCAAATGGTAATACTCTGGGTTTAAGAAAAACAGGCTTAAAATCTTTTTTAAGAATTAAATCAAACATTTTGTGCTTATAACAACCCAAAATATCATTAAACACAGACGGAAAAGTTTGTACCACATTCTGGTATGATGTTAATTTACATAATGAATAAGTACCAGAAAACATTGGAATACTTAACTTAGTCAACCATTCCCGACCAAGAATTGGAGGACCACCCTCTTTAACAACAACCATTTCCAATTCTCTACAAACATCTTTATATTGAACTCTAACTTTTAATACACCTAATGGCACAATGACAGAATTGTTATAAGTTTTCAACCGCACATTAGATTGTTCCACTCTGTTCAAATATTTAATCTCATAATTTTTTAAATCATTAACCTTTATAACAGTCATACTCGAACCCGTCTTCGTCGCCATTGTAATATTTGTAGGATGATGATAAATTAACAATAAACAATTTAACTAAGTGTTCTTTTAATATTTTTAACATAACATAATAAAGAACTGAACAACTACAAAGCATACTGCAAAGCATACTGCAAAGCATACTAAAAAGCATACTAATAACATGAGTGACTGTGTGAGTATATGACAATTGACAAATATTTTAAGGTTATATCTAAGGTCATGGAACAAAAACTACAAATTTCTTCGACTGACGAGGATTTTTCCGCCGGTATATTTGCGTATAAATACCCGGCCATAAGATCAGTTTGTCCCACCACCATGTGACGTATAATGTTGGATTTTTGGGCAATAACCTCGTTGATAATCCACCGCATGTCTTGGAGGTTTAATAGATTCCGTCTGCTCAATAATACACGACGTCCTTTCTGGCGGTGGGATTCGATTACCAGCATGTTATTGCCGCGATAACTAATTTTGCACAGTGTAATCGTCTCGTCCCGGAGTAACAGTTTCTCGAGGCTTTTAACCGGCGGATCGGTTATAATCGATAGAATATGCCCCATCAACGAGTAAAGGCGTCGCAGAAAATCAGCTGTTATACATACGAACCGCGACGGCGTGATTATCCTGATGGATACGTCGAAATCTCTAGACGGGTCGAGCCATATGCTGATAGACTTGCGACCGATAAAGTCTATGACGAAATCGGTGGTATCGATTAACTCGGCGAGCGACATATCCCCGTCTAGTCGCAGTTGAACGTCACGTTCCGTCATTATTATTATTATTATTATTTATTATATCAAATTTAACTTTTAAAAACAATATATTGAAACACACTTGGTGGGCGACGAACAGCTGCACCGGGAATGATCTACTATTATCGCATATATTTGCAGTGCGTATGACGTGTGCATGCGAATTAAAATTAACAATTATCTTAGTTGATAGATCGTCCACGATAAGCGCGTATATGCCGCGAATTATATGGGGAGTCGCGATTCTTTCATATATTATATCGGAGTGTGTGAGTGGGAAAGTCGGCGGAGGAAGGGGAAAACAGCCAGGTAGTATGTATATTGTATATGAATGATACTACTATATATATATATATATATAGGTTTATACTATAGTATGTACATATTATGTAGGTACATAGAATATAGGTAAGTATATACTATATACATATAATTAGGCGCTCGCGGGGGCCCGCGATGACGTAGGAGGCGCGGGACGACGTAGTCCCCGGTGTGGGAGGGGGTGGGGAGAGGAGCTCGGGAAGCGCACGACGACGCAGGAGGTGCTGGCTGGGGGAGTGGGGGGAAGGAGTCGCAGGTTGAAGCGGGGAGTCACGGTGTGGGCGGGGGGAGTGGGGGAGGGAGTCGCGGGATGACGTGGGGAAGCATGATGACTGGTGAGTGGAGTGGGGAGGGGAAAGAAGCAAGATGACGTAGGGAAGCATGATGACGTAGGGAAGGGCAAGGAGGGGCCGGGAGTCGCAGTGTAGGCGGGGGGAGAGGGGGAGGGAGTCGCAGGATGACGTAGGGAGTCGCATGGAGTCGCAGTGAAAGCGGGGGGAGTGGTGGAGGGAGTCGCAGTGTAGGTGGGGGGAGTGGGGTGGGAAGCACAGTATAGGCGGTGGGAGTGGGGGGGGGAGGGGGTTGGGGTAGCGCGAATGCGGGAGGGGGGTGAAGCGCGGGGGAGCCAGAACCGGCTATTTCATACTACTTACGTGAATACTGTGCTATATGTATGTGTTATG